CTATGTTTACAAACAGCTCTCCTCACTTAAAACAGACTCCTCTGAAAAGGAATTGAAGTACATGCCTCCATGGCATAGAGCTATATATGTATAGGAAGTGGAGGAAGTTTTCTGGTTGGCCCTACAGACTTTCAGGGATGCATTGACATAACTTAGTGCTTATTTCAGACCTTATTTAAAAAAATAATAAAATCAGTCCATAACGCAAGAAACAAGTTAATGACCTGGTACATAGAAGCAACTTGCCAGTCTTCTGACATGTCAGTAGCACTAATACTGACTGAGGAAAAACTGGAATATACAGCTGCTTGAATCTGTAAGGTTTTTCACATGGAAGTACACTATCTCACATACCAGAACAGCCTAAATGCCTTTGAAACTCAGCCACCAAAACACACAACAGTACACATTTATGTTCCACAGAAGGTACATAGCTACCAAGCATTCCACCTTTCCAGAGGAGATAAGTCTTATTCCATTACCACAGAAAATGTTATCAGGTGAAACATCACTCCTGCTTATCTGAGCAAGAAGGCATGCATTATGCCTTCACTGTCTTGCTTTGCAAGTGCTCATTTCAGTTTGTTTTTTTCCCTTACTGTTAAACAAGTTTTACAATATTCTCCTCCTTCTCCCACATCCATGGTTGCCTGCACTCACTTTGATTTCTCATTGCTTCCTATGGATGAGAGCAAGTTCACTTCCTAAACTCAAAAGATTAACATCAACTCACATATCTAATACTTGTTTGTCTTCATAGAAGAGATGGTTTATTCCAGTTCTTCCTCAATTTAGTATTTGAGCAAAATACTTAATCTGATTTCTCTATCCTCCTGGGGACTGGTATATACTTTAAAAAGTTAGACTTCAGATCTTTTCAAGAAGACAGAAGAATTTAGTAACAAATCTGCACGCTACAAGTCTTATCATTCAACTTCTGAAAGTTTGTTTAGAGCACATTTAGACTACCAAAGTACAATTATTCCTCTTCTGTTTGGCCATTTTCATAGCCGGGCTCTTCCAGTTAAAACATTACTTCAGTTTTAATAAACACTTTTACAAAGAAATTCTAATAAAGTCCTGGGAGAACGGTGCTATTACACCAAAAGTAATACAGAACTGCTCAGTCAAATCTTCAAAACCAAATTTGTCTATCAGTTGTCATTAGTGACATTCTTCAGGTGAAGCCAAGCTCAGGTGGTCATCTATGGCTTTTACCCACACTGGCCCGCCAAGCAAGTTGCATATTTGTACAGGCTGACGTGAGTGATAGTCAATGTGATCATAAAGTAGCAGCTAACAGTACTCAGTTGCTGGTCTTATTCGATCAGATCAAAAGGTTTGACAATACAGAAAATCCTTAAAGTGTTCTTTCAATGATATTTGAGTTTCATCAATATGCTATATTCATCTTCTACACTACATTGTGGTCAGTGCAGAATACTCACTAAAAGAGCATATTTGTCAGGTAGGAATCTCTAGCATATTGAAATAGACTTTAGAAGCACTTCCATACCATTAAGTTTCCTTTGTTTTTTATCTCTTTACCACAGTGACTCGTTCCTATCGCCTATTTATTTTGCCGATTATTTATGTCCTTTGATCAAGGGGGTTGACCTGCTCCTAACACTTTCAGAATTTATCCAGGAAGAGGTATTTCTTGTCAAGATAAAAAAAAAAAAAAAAACAAAAAACAAAAACAAAAACAAGAGTAATACCTAAGGGCAGCAAAGGTTTAGAAGTTTTGCTCCTGTATGAACATGTATGTAATCTGTTCAGCTTTTCAGAATACTTCATGCCACAACCACGATAATTTGACATTGACTGATCAGTCTTGCTCCCAAGCTTTTGCATCTCCATTATTCAAGAAGCTAAAACCCATGCCTAAATGCTAAAATGCCTGAGTATTTCTGGAATACACAAGTCTAGGCACAACAGTACCCTTCTTTCCCCTTTGATTCTGATGCAGGAGTTTGCATTACTTTGTACCTTACAAGAAGGTTACTTTCACTGAAAAAAAAGCATAGTAGTATAACATTGTCATGCAATGTTCTATAGAATTATCTAATCACTAAAAAAAACTCAGCTAGCACAAGAAATTGAACTCGCTCAGGCACCTGCTGCATTGCAATACACAACATTGATCATTTTGGCTACATCACACCAGAAGCCAGCACAGTATCTGCATCTTTAGCTGATGACTGAACTATTATTAGTTCTTAACCGATTTAGGTACAGAACCTTAGATTGCAGCACCCAGCACTTTGAGGAAGGCTTTTTATGATGAACAGTTAAGTACAAGCTTTGATCCAGTGAAAAATAACATGCTTCACAATGCTTAAGGGTTAGACTTTAATTCAGAAGCCTTTTAAATGCACCCAAATAAATTCAGAATACCAGCTGGAAAGTCACATGTAACATCACTTTACCATAAGATTTAGAACTCATCAAGAGATCTAAAGCTGTTTGTCTGCATACACCACCAGACAAAATTACCTATGTGAGCTGTTGAAAGCCAGAAGACAGTTGGGCTGATGAGTTAAAAAGGAATGACTATCACATGCTCAGATACTTTGTTACACATTTCAATAAAGCTCTTTAGGGAATATGAGCTATGACTATATAGAAGCCATCTTCAATCTGGTTCTCTAACTAATAATCTCTATATAAACCTGTTAAAATCCTCAAGCATTTAGAAATATTCACGAATATAGATGTAGGAAGCTGCAGAACACATTCCCAGGTGAAGGACTTCAGTCATCTTAAGACCACAAAACAGCCCTTATGGATACTAAAATCCCCTTTACTTTAATGATTAATGCTTAATTGAGATGTGAAGTTCTCTAGGAGTCTGAACTGCTACTCCCACACTGGCTAAACACAGCCCAATCGAAAAAAAAAAAAAAAATCACTAAGATTCAGATTACTTCTCTTCTTGGCCTTTTTTTTTCATTTGGGAAAGGACCCCCAGCCCCTTGGAAACAGAATAGCTTAACTATCAGATTAGACATAAGAACTTGGATTGCAAATTGCAAAACAGTTGTATTTTCCTTTTTTATTTTTGCTAGGCAAAGATTAGTTAGGAGTTTCACATGAAAGTACACCACCTTATAAAATAGGAAAAATATTTCAATGACAGGAAAAAAAATTTGATTCTTCAATCTATCAGCAATATTAGCACAAGACTCCAGGGATCAGTAGCTCTTAACTCAGTCTTCACCTAGCAGTGTCCTAGATACACTAAGGGTAATAATCAAGACTGAAAGATACCGTCTTCTAGATCTTGAAATTAACACATGGGTGCATTGATAGAACTTCCCATAACATAAATAGGTTCTGTCCAAATGTTACAAGTTGCAGCTAAGTTTCAGCCTAGCATCTTGAAACAGGTTGCTTTGGCAAAGCACACAGCCTATCCCAGTCTCAGAAACCAAGAGCTGAGGAGAAGTTAAATGCAAGCAAGGCAGCCTGCTGAACCCAAGGATCCTGTTACTTTCCCCTCTTCAGTCTTTGGAACCCCAGACTTGCTAAAATATATCCAGAGCATTGTAGCAGCTTGTACCAATACTGCTAACTGATTTACAGAAAGTTAAAACTGATCCATAAAAGGCACACATCCAAAGAGAAAGCTTGCCAACATTTTACTTGCTCTCCAAAGCATCAATTAGAAAATATTTTAGTTTGCCCTAAAGGCCAGCAGCAGAAAGATCTAGGATGTGTTTCAGCATATGGTAGTAAAAAGCAGGCTTTTTAGTTTGAGGAATCATATCTGAAGTGTTTTAAGATCATCTTTAGAGCAGAAAGGCCAGAAGCTGACGTACAGCTGGTCTGTCACAGGGTTACAGCAGCCACATGTTACACTTCCTCTTTCCTGAGCTTCCATTTGATAAAGCATAGAGTTCATGGAAACAGTAACTACCAGTTGTTACCCTAGTATCTTCCAGGAGCTTAAATTTAAATGCCAGCATTTGAAATAATTCTATTTTTTCATATCCAAGGAGATATTCTGAATGTGGTAGAGAGGGATGAAGAGAGCTGCACATTAAAACCTGGGCTGCACACAAAACTAGAAATGCAATATCAGCTTCAGCTGATTAAGGAGCCAAAGGGCCAGACTTACAAGACCACAGCAAAACAGAGCTTGTTCTGTAGCATTTAACACCACAGCATAAGCAAAGTTAACTCTGACAGGTATACAGTTGGAATCTTTGGAACAGAGATGTCAGAGAACAGTTTTGAATTATCTATACGAAAGGAATGACGTGTAGTTTAGACAAGTGATCAGGATTTTTCTGCTTCTGTGTGTTCAGAGTACCTTTTTGATACACAAACACATGATTTGTGTGCAAAACTAGGCATAACACAAGTCCCGTTCCCTCGCTCCACATTGCATGGACACAAGTTACTTTTGAATTAAGTAGGTGACCCCAAACAAGCAAAGTTTGAGCACGCTTCCTTTGAGGACTATTTTAGCTATGTGAGTTACCTTTAACTTGTAAGGTGTGCTTACTAAACATAACCTACTTGGAAAAGATATTTATTTCCTCTAGAAGCGTTATGGAGCCATAACTACGAATGAATTTAAGCAGCAGTCATAACCAAGGCCACAAGCACCGGAGCAAGCGGGCCAGGAGGAGCAGTAAGATCAGGAACCCCTGGAAAGCGCCGGAGACACCAAACTGAGCAAAGCAGCTCTTTGAGGTTTGCTATAAAACCCTGGGCTGAGCCAACAGCCCCACAACATCAGCTAACAGGCACACACACAGCCTATAAAACGTCAAAAACTTCACTTCCACATGGAGACCTCCCTCTACTTATGCCTCAAACGCAGACAAGAGGAGTTGCGGGAAACAGGGAGAAAAACATGAAGCCAGACTTGACAGCCGAAAACCACTTTCCTCCGCAGAGGCCGGGTCCCAAGACCCCAGATAACCTGGTTCACAGGCCTCTGCCCACCTCGGGGGTCATCCTGATGAGAGACGCCCGCTCCCGGCCCTTACCTGCTATATCCCAGAGCTGCAGCCGCACCAGGGTCTTGCTGTCCCAGTTGATGACTTTGAGAGCGAAATCCACCCCGATGGTGGCCCGGTAATGCTGGGAGAAGAGCTGGTGCACGTACCGCTTGATAATGCTGGTTTTCCCCACGCCCAGCTCCCCGATCACTAGCACTTTGAAGAGATGCTCCCGGCACTCCGGCACGCCGGAGCCCGCTCCTTCCCCGCCGGCCATCCTCGGGCCTCCCGCGGAGAGGAGCGGAGCGCTGCGCGGCCCCGGCGGGACGCCGCGGGGAGGCCGGGATGCCGGCGCCGCCGCTCCCCCCCCCCGCCTCTAAACTTTCCCAGCCGGTAACTTTTCCTCCAACTTTCCCCAGACGGACTCCCCGCTGCGCCGGCCCACGCCGAGCGGGGGAAAGGCGAGACGGAGCGGGCCGGAGGGAGGGGAGAAATCCCACAACCACCTGACTGCAGTCACAGGACGCGGAAACTCCGCGGCCTTATAAAAGCCCGGGGGAGGGCGGTGGGGAGGGGCGGGGGGAGGGAGCCGGTCCCTCCCCGCCGTTGCGGGGTACCGGGGGGTGGCGGCGGCGGGATGGGGTCCCTGGGTACCCCCGCAGCTTCCTCGGCTCCTCGCCCGGCCGGGGTGGGCTGTTCGTGGGGCAGCCGGCGGGGGGACGGGGGCTCCGGCCGTAGCGGGAGCTGAGTGTTAAAAGGAGGCTCAGGCCGGGGAAGTTCCAGCTCCCTGCCGGTATCATCCTCCGCCCCCTTCTGCTGGTAGCGGCCTCAAAGTTTTCTCTCGGTAAAAGTCTCGGGAGCGCCCCTTCCCCGAAAACGCTCCGGTTTTCTCCCCTCTGTCCGGCAAAGCGTGTTATAGGCAAAAAGGTTCGTGGGACAGAGGGCTTTATCAGGGTGTCTGCTGATAGGAGCACTCCGGAGACCCCCGCTGGCACCCACGGCCACCTCTCCGTTACTGGGCTGGTTTGCCCACCTGGAGCCAGCTTGGGGCCCTCTGAGCAGGGGGGGTTTGCACCCAGGGCTGCCCCCCTGCACCTGCACACCCTGCAATGAGGCCTGGAACTGCACAGCAAGGAAGGAAGGGTGGTGCTGAGCTCGCCCCGTGCAAACAGGCCAAGGGCGGAGGCAGCAGCAGTGACGTAGCGTAGGCCGTCATGCGCAAAAGGCTCAGGTAACAGAGGATGAAATCACCTCCTCATCTGCAGGATTCCCATCAAACACCTACAACTACATTTGCTTCACTTCAGTTCCTAAATTAACCCAGCAAAATATTTTTCATCACTCTGTGATTGTTTTGAAAAATGCATCAGAGGAAGCAGTAACAACATGTTGTTAGAACCTAACATAAAATAAGTTTCCTGTCCCTAGGACCTTGTAGTACCATGTGTGCAGATTGTAAGCACTGAGGTAAAAACATCTTTGTTAACGTTAGCCCTCCAAATGAAACACCCAAACCCAGACACCAGTCCTTGCAATGAGAGGACGGAGTTGTGCAACGGAGGGGTATGGTCTTGGTGCTCTAACGTTTAGCACCCATGTAAATTCTTTAACAGAGCTATTTTCTGCTGGAGAGTAATGAGGTCCTGTCAGAAAGGGAAATGTTATGTGACTGTCTAGACAGCCAGCGTGGGCACGAGTTAGGAGCCCAAGTGAAGAGCTGATGAGGAGTGAAGGGATGCCTCCAACAGGAAACAAAGTAGCAGTTTGAACATATGGTAACTGATCTGGCAAACAATCATCAGTTGCTTCTTATTTTATAATAGTTTACTGTATATACTAATTCCCTTGCTATGCTTTTAATTAGTGGCTTGAGTAAAACAATCCAGACTTTCTCTGTTGACTTAAGGCATGCTTACTTCCATGTCACACAAAGTTGATGCATGCAGTGTAGATGGGAGTGGGTGAAGAAAATAGCTCTTTGGCAAAATGAGGCAAAAATGTTAGACTTCTTGGAGAAAAATCCTATTTACCAACTTTGGGTTAAATTTATTAATTTAAGCTGTCATGCTATATTAACTTCAATACAGTTGTTCTAATTAGAATTTACTTTCCATCAGAAGTAATAACAACATCAGAATAAAAACTAAGGGAAGACTGTTATTCAAAAATTAGGTGGTTTGGTTTTGTTTTGTTTTGTTTTGTTTTTTTAGTGGAGGGTGACACAGAGTAGCACAGGTTCCCTGGGAAGAGATGAAATAAACAAGAAATGTTGCCACTAGCTGGGAAGTTGAAGATGAACATGAGACAACTTATTTCAGGTACACGTACTTTAACCACTGTGGGTTCTGGTAAACCTCTGTAGCTGTATGTAGATTGATAGTCTACTTGCATGCACAGCTGTGGTCCCTTCAGATTGGGGATTTAGCTGGCATGCACTGAAGATCTCTCCCTACATAGGTGCCCAAATTTCTCTCCTTCCACTTGGGATGGAAGTGAATCGACACATGCTCACATAAAGATATGGCTGGGGTCTAATATGGATGCAGAAGCCTTATTCCTCAGGCTTAGATGTAGTCTTTGTGTCTTCATTCCTTACCTATCAGCTGGTGAATATTGCACTTTCCTACCTTACAGGAGTGTTATGTTCATTGATCACCAGCCATATTCATTCTGTCATTACATGGCAGAGGGTGGAATACTTGCTTGTGCTAATTATAGGCTTCTCATTACATTAGATAAATTGTTTTTTCCTTGCATAGCTGCGGTGGAAATTTTAGGCTTTTCCTATGGTTTGTTAGGCCTCCCTACTACCCTCTTTGTCTTACATGCCATGGAAATTCATTACTCCCCTTACTTTCTTCATTCCTTATCCTCATTTTGTAGGGGAAGATAGATCATATCATACAGCTAAGTGAGCAACTATACTATTGTTAGTAAACTGAGTACAACTACTTCAGTATACTTGAAATTTGGTAGCAACAGTACAAAAGAAGCCTGTAGGCTAATTTTTTCCTCCCATACTGATTTTGAGCAATTAGAACTACCAAGGAAAGCAAAAAAGTCTGTAAAAGTCATGATCTATTTACAGAAGAGTCACTATGAGAAACAAGGGCAAAATGTGACTGATAATTTTCCACAATTAATAGTTTGTTCATTTCTAATTACATTTCAGCATGCCAAACATATAGCAGTGAATCTTGCTTGAACTAATAATTTGCCTTAATTTCATTATTATTCATTTCATTTAAGTTGTCTGATATCTGTGCGAAACCACTTGGCAAAATTCAGTCATTTGCAGTTCTGTTGTTACTGTTCTGTCTCTCAGTGGTGCCGTATAATCAACCATGTACAAAGTTACAGAATAAAATATAATCACCACCCACCAAGTACAGGGTAGATAATCTTTATACTGTGAAATAAATTTTAGTGTCACTTGGTCTTTTTCATGTAATTCTACTATTTAACTGACTCCCCTTTACCAGTGGAATGTCAAAAAAAAATCCTCTATTGAACAAGGGTTGTTTGCATCATGGTACAGTAATTAGGATTACATTATTATATTTTACCTTCAGTTATCTACACTGGGAGACCAGGAAAAGGTTATTATTGTGCTATTTTAACTAGTTTATCTGGTTGATTGCCTTTAAAAAGATGCCTGCTTCATATTTCAAATAACAATTTTAAAAGCTATTTTTTTTTTTCTTTCCCTGCACTGGAGATATCAGGGATGAGGAAGAGAAAATGTAAATCTCCCAGAACAGGATTTTGTTATCCTCTCAACCTGAAGGCTGGAGGCTGGACTAAATAAGAACTAGCTTTTTTTTTTTTTTTTTTTTTTTTTTTTTTTTTTTTTTTTTACAGTTGCTGTTTGCTGGCATTAGCCTGTGCACCTACCGGGTTCCTTTGCTAAATTATCAGTTTATTCACATGTTAGAACACTGGCTTCCAACAGCAGCTGGGTTCAAGGAACTGGCTGATCACTGAAACTATTTCAGAACTTCTTATAAGGGCTGGTGAAATAGCTTTGCTTGTAAGATGACATTGTAGCTTCCTTTTTATTCTGATCCTTAACGTCTTTTTGTATCTCTCTTCCTTCAAGACTGCTTCTTCTAATCTTTCCCATGTTAGTCTCTCCTCCACTTCCTCTACAACACCATTTTGCCTTATCTCACTTCTATTTTCATCATGCTAACTGTAACTCTTTAATATCCTTCACTTTTGTCTTCTGTTTTCTATTTTCTTTTCCCTTGAATGTTCTTCACCTGACTTAAGTTTAGGCCTTTTGTTTTTTAATTTTTTTTTCATGATTTCTCCCTTTCTTATTCACCTTCCTGTTCTTCTGAGCTTTTTCTTCTCTGAAGTGAATGAGGAACTCTTCATGTTTCTTCTTGTCAGCCTGTGGTGAGAATGGGACAGGAGCAGGTTCAGCCAGTTTGTCAGGACAGGAAAGCTGAAGCAGAGGGATGCATTTTGTTAACTCTCCCCTGTAGTTGTATTAGAAGTGAAATTCATAGCTGAAGGGGTGGTGTGAGTAGCTGGAAAAGTGGAAGAAGTACAGCAGATGGAAGATTCCTCTGTGTCCGGGTGAGGAAGAAGAGCTGCTGGGATGCTACGTCCGAGCAGATTTGCATGCCATGTTATCTATCTCCATGCACTTCTCTGATCAGGTGGAGGACGGACAGACCACTTCCTCTGCTCTGAGTAGCATTTCCCAACAGTCAAGGGGAAAAAAAATCTGTGTTGTAAAACAGTATTGTTATAACAGACAGATTGTACTGCCTGGAGCAGTATTGGCGACTGAATGCTTTCTTTTAACAGTGGTTTTCTAGGGAAATGTTCCAAAGTATTGCTTTTAGTGGTAGTAACATAGAAATAGTAGAGATCAAGGTAAGTACACAAGGCTGAGGGTCCGTTGGAAAAATTCTGCTGTGGCCAAGTAAAGCACTGGACAACAAAGCACGTGCACAAGAGGATTGAATTAAATTTACATGAAACTTACATAAGAGTTTGTGGTCTACAAACAAATGCTTAGTTTTTTACCCACTGAAAATGTTCTCCTTCAGTTGTGTGAGAGCACCCATGAATCAAAAGCTAAGATTATAAATTAGTATTAGCCTGTATGGGGCTTTACTTTCTACACAGCAGTATGACATACTGTTGTCTCCTGACTACAAATTTAATTGTATTATGTGGACTTGAACTTGTAATATACACTTGTAATATACACACAGCCTATATATAGGACAATTCTACTTATACTTGAAAGATATGGTTGCAGAAATACAGATACTGTCTCTGTGTCAGTTTTAAAATGTATCTTAGATGCCTGCAGGCAAAACTACTATTAAACAACCCTAAATATATATTAAAAAAAACTAGAAAAATAAATACTAAGGTTTTGTTAAAACCCATAAAATAATGGTCTATACAATGGAGTAACAGATGAATGCTTTTTTCTGGAAGAGGAAGAGAAACCAGACATGAGGAATTCATGTTGAACAGTGACGTTTGCAAGTCTTTGACAAACATCTGGAGAGAGTCCTAATGATCACAGAGGCCTCTCTCATGAGGCCTGATGGTCTTGCACAGACAATCAGATTATTATTCCTCAGACTAACTTTTCTGTAGTCTATGCAAATAAATAGTGCTGAGCTTGGACTGCCATCTTTGGAT